TGCAGCCTGGCTCCCAGTTTTCACCCAAATGGCACATCTTGAGGAAATGTTCTTCCATACGGTGCTATTCGCTCTATGACTTCCATAGATATGAAATGGGGAGAGATGACCCTGCTCCATCCAGGCCATGTATTCTCAAAAAAATCTCAAAAACAAGTAGTTCTCATTCAATTTCTGTCATTTTCTCCTCATCTCCAAAATCATCACTAACTAGCTGACAAAATTACAGCCATCTTACACTTTGAAGTTGCCCTATAATGTCTTTTTTTCAATCTTTCTCTTATTTTACCTCCTACTTGAAATCTTTGTTCACTCCAATAACACTACTTGACTGTCAAATTAGCATAAACCTTTCCAGTGTTAAAATAATCACTCACACCTTTCCTTTGTTCTTCTCTGTTCTCTCCAATCCATCACTAGCTTCCTTGTATTTTACAAGTATCCACAACAATAGCAAGTTAGAGCTTCTGTGAAATCCATGGACACTTGATGAATGAACTCTAAAAATACATCAGATTCACCATAAGACAAGTGATGAGCAGAGAGATCAAGTATTTTGTCCCAGACTGCACAGCCAATCTATAGCCAGGTATAGACTCACAGCTCTCACAACTTACAGTCCCATGTGCTTGTCCTAAGAATATGCCTCCTCTCTTGCACAGAAAAAATACCTTGTGCATGCAGAATTCATGTCAAATTTGTATCAAGCCAACGTACCTGGATGAAGATATATTCATCCTGAACAACAAGGGAGCTGACATCAATGGCACGTGAAAATGGCCCATTCCTTTTGGTCTCTGAGCACTCTTGGATCCGACAGGTCAAATAGTGGGTGTCTGTAATGGGAGAATATGTACACATGAGAAACACCCAGGTAGGAATCAGTTGTCTACAAATGTCATCAGCAGCTCAGAAGAAGGCAAGGGAAGTCCTAACCTCATCTCCAACTAGGTAGATGTTATTACATGATCTACCTCCAGCCTTGAAGACTGTAACTGCTCTCTGAAGTCAGGAATTCATCACACTTCAACGTTCACCATTTCCTTCCCCATTGTGCAGACATCCCTCAGGAAATTGAAGTTAAAACTATAATTGGAGGGTACCAACCATAAATGCATCAGAAAGCTGATGACAAGAGTATGTGGAGCAGAAAAAGATTTCAAAAGGCATCCAGGTTGAATTTACTGATTCCAATATTCTGCTGGGAATTATATCCCTGACATCCCCCTGAAATGCCCTAGTCTTAATGACCATTTTTAATCATGGTAGTAACACAAAAAGAGGAAAAACAAAAGCCCAAACCAGCAGTATTGAGTTTTAACTTATTTTGCTGTGAAAATGGGAAGCGTCTCCCAAATTTAATCTTTATAGCCAACATAGGCTAGGCATGAAAATGCCATGGACATCAAACAGCATGCCTAGCTGAAGAGACCAAACAGTATGCACTGCAAGAAGCATCAAATGCTTCTGCCTAGAGAGATGAGAAGACCATCACACTAATGGGATGTCTTGTCCGATCTTGGCATTACTTGAGAGAAGGAATACGACTGGGAGAAGAGCATGAAAACAGAAAGCAAAGGCAGACATAAAGAAAGTTTCTCAATGCAAGAAGAGATGTGCTCACCTCCAGCAAGTTAACAGGGGTTATAGGGGATTAAGAATTATTTCACTCAGGCTAAGAAAGAGCCTCATGAAAAAGAACAATGAAGGCACTGTGTCTTTGGATGTGTGTAATCTAAATATGCCATCTCTGCTTCTCAACTGCTCTCCTGAAAACAGCAAATTAAGGAGAAAAGGAAAATACTACTAAGATGACAGCTACAGTGATAAAAGGGTCATATCTTTTACACTGTGGCACTTCTGCAGGCTTCCTAGGATCAGGTGCTTGTTTGCTTTTCTACAAAGGGTGAGGACAGACCATCAATGAAGAAAACAGCGAGTTTATAAGGGCTGGGTTGAGCCTGGAGCAGTGATTTTAGTTCACAACAGAACCTTTTAACACAGATCTTGTCAAACTGAGCCCAAAAGGATAAAAGGGAAGTTTAAAAGGACGGTAACTAGCCTAGCAAAGCTGCTTACAGGCTTCTCCATCCCCAAAAAATTGCTATTGTCCTTAGTCTGTGTCTTTCCACTGACAGTAAAATGTGGTTCAGTGGAACACTCTGGAAGGCATGGCTGAAATCGTCTGACACTTAGCTAACTGCCCTCCCAGATTCTAAGACAAGATTCACAAACTGACAGTTTCCCCTTTCATAGTCTTGTCCCACCAACGTTCTTAAGAATGCAAAAACCCTACAAGTCAGAGGTACTAATAATAAGAATAATATATTTAAAAAAATATATTGTCGAAAAAAATCACAAACTACAAGCAGTCTTTCATCTAATAAAGGTTCATGCCCAACTGCCCAGTGACTGAAGGTCCATGTTTAAAGGCTGCAGACCTGGTTCTGGGTTGAGGCACTGGGGATTCCAGGTTAATAAGGGCTACATGGCTGCTTCAGAGCAGTTGCATAGATCTAGTACAGTAATGAAATCATAGTCCCACTGAGTATGCTAAAGCAGCAGAAAATGTTGCTGGTGCCAGCTCAGAGTGCCTGGAGGTAATTAAAGTGTATGGTGAAAAATATCTGACCTAGAGACAGTGCCAAATCACCAGAGTATCAGAGCTGTGCTTTCTCCCAACATAAAATACCAGCAGTGGTAGAGAGGTCAGATTTTTAGCTAGTGTAAATTAGGGTCCTTCATCAACTGACATATACACACTTGGTCCAGAGCTGCTTTTTAGCCCCTCAACATGGAACCTAAGGCAACTTTGCAGTGGATAAAAGCAACTTCTCAGAAAATAAGAAGGTCTTATACGCTGCCACGCTGCCCAAAGAGATCAGCAGACGTGACATGTTGTTTGAGGTAGCACTAAAATTAGGAAGAACAAAGAGGAGAGGTCAGGAGACATATTTTTAGAAGCTCATTCCCTTCAGTATGTTCTCCCACACAGTCGCCTGGATATTCTTATCCTTCCAAAAAGGGTATAATTTGCTGCTGCTGAGTGACAGAATGGGAAGAGGAATAAAAACCTGTCACAAAAAAATGCAGATAAATCACAAGTGTTGACATGACAACGAGCTTCCTGCCTATTGGGAAATGTGTCATTTTGAGTGTGTTACACCAGCAATCAAATATACTCAAAGAATGACACCTGATTAATACTCACAGGAAGTTGGTGGTGGAAGACAGGGGTAGCTCACTACCCATTTTCCATTGAGTTTCTTGTTTCATTTACTTATTTTCATATATTTTACAACAAAAAGGCTATGAAAAAAATCAACACAGACACAAGAAAAAATTTTCTTCAAACGTGTCTGCTTTGGGATACAAAAAAAGGTACAAGTCCTGCTATTTTATCTTGCTGCCACAAAGAAAATGAAAAATAGCTCCCTTTAAAATATGTTAAAAAATTAAGTAAAAAAGTACGACAGCACCCAGTTCCCATTTGTGTGTTACTCAAAGTGAGAAACAACCCCAAGTCCCTGCTCAAGCTTCTTGAAGGGTATGATCCCTTCCTGAACTATGGTCCTGTTCACAGGGCACATCTTTCCCCCCCCCATAAAAAGTACAGGGCCTCTCAACAAAAATCTCCATTAAGAGAGAAGGGGCCATCCTAACATCCAAGCTGGTATCTCCCTCTCCTTTGAAATGGGTTAACTTTTCACACCTGTTTTGCACAGCCACAAGGAAGAAGGACATCTTCCCAGAGGGGTGGGTAGTATGAGCTCAAGCCTTGCTTCCCTTTCACTGAGAGGTGTATATCTTAAGGAGTGTTGATTTCTATCTGGGGATTATTTCCAATTTTCATACTGTCCCATGAACTAAAGGCTTTGGGTGTTTTGGTGGTTGGTTTTGGCTTTGGTGTTTTTGTTTGCTTTAGGGGCTTTATTTGTGGCTTTTTTATTTTATTTTGGGTTTTTTATTATGTTCCACTGCAAAAGGAGTTGCTAAGAGCTCCCTGTTTCACAGACAGCCTCAAAAACTTCTCATGCTTATAACCCAACATCCAGCTACTTTCTCAGCTCATCTCTGAATGAGGCAATATGGACATCAAGCAGCCTGGAGGGATTGCTGCAGCTCAAATCTCAGCATTCATATACCACCACACAAACCCTTCCCACCAACTTACCTCACGTTGAATCATGGAATGGCTTTCACAGATGTGCAGCCACTTTACAGTTGAGGAGCTCAAACCACCTCCTCATTGCTAATTAAGCCGCCCATCTTGAGAATTTGAAGTATATTTTTACCCTTTTACAAGTGATAAAACTGAAACAATTTCTTGAAATTTGAAATTATATACTGGTGAAATAAGTCAATTACTAAGTCTTCTCTTTGCCTGCCAGCCATGCCTGCTCTGGCAGGAAGCAGGAGGACAAGAGGCTCTCTCTGGTGGGTACCACCCAAAGATGTGGGTCCCTGAAGGAAGACACTGAAACAGTCAAACCTGTCATTGTGCTGAAGGCTGCAAAGGGCAGACCTGTGTGCAGGTAACTGTGACTTAAAGAGACACAGGACAGCAAGTCCTGATCCTTCCTGGCAGCATTAGTAAGCAGTTGAAAGCAGGGTCAGCACGGCTAACAGGGAGAAGGGCAGCTGATGGAAACAAGTTGCATTGGACGTTGGCTCAGCTTAAGTCACGTCCTAGTGCCAGGCAAGACTTTAAATTATAAACTGCCAGTGAAAGTTTCCGTGGCAAGGAAAAAAACCCCAGTGGCCTCAAGAATATTTCCCTCAAAGGAAAAGAGTATCTAGAAATGCAGGCAGAGTTGTAAATTATTCCCCAGGAATTAGTTACTCTGTTTTATATTTCTGGTTAGCTTTTTTCTCCCTCTTTTTCCTTTAATTCAAATACTGTTTGTTGCACCATATCTGTGAGTGAGGAGAAGATTAGCTCACTGAATATCAGAAAGTTTAATATATCTGTCCCAGGAATGCTGGTGGGTGCTTGTGTCAGTGTATTCATAATAGTTCCCTTGCATCCAACCCTGTCCTTGCTGCTGCCTATTACACCCAGGCAGAAGGTACAATGCCCAAGGCTCCTACATATTTTTATAATTTAAAAATGCAAGCCTTGATTATTATTCTGTCACAATAGCTTTGCCAAGATGTCAAAAAAATGTGGAAAACTTCATTGGCTACAAAAGAGAGAAACAGCCTGAGATAAGAGAGGCACTGGAATTATCAGCAAATATTACACTTTGTAAATTTTTAAGGAGACTAGATACTGGGACAGATATTTTTTTCAGAGACACTACTATTCCTAATGACTGGACAGACAAAACCATGGGCAAGATGTCTTGCAGGACAGATACCAGAGAGGGGAAGAGGACTTCCTCCTCCCAGCTCCATGAGCTTATTGTTAGCCCTGACTCATTTATGGATGAATGAGGCTCTAGCATGGCCCACAGCCTGTTCCCTACTCCAGAGTATATTTTAGGCTCCAGTGTCTGAATTGGTATTAAATAGGTTCTTAGCTCCCATTACTGCTTGTGCTGGTTTGAGCTGGAGTAGAGTTAACTTTCTTCACAGAGGCTAGTATGGGGCTATGTTTGGGTTTCGTGCAGAACACAGAGTTGATAATGCAGAGATGTTTTTGTTACTGCTGAGCAGAGTTTACACAGAGTCAAGGCCTTTGCTGCTTTCCGTACTGCCACGCTGGCAAGGAAGTTGGGGATGCATGGGAGACTGGGAGGAGACACAGCTGGAACAGGTGGCCCAAACTGACCAAAGGGATATTCCATACCATATGACATCATGCTCAGTATATAAGGTGGGAGGAAGAAGGAGGAAGGGGGGACATCTGGAGTGATGGTGTTTGTCTTCCCAAGGAACCGTTATGCGTGATGGGCCCTGCTCTCCTGGAGATGGCT